TTGAAATGTATTTGGAAACACCAGAACAACAATGTGTGCACACACTCCACATATGCTTCCTGTTTTTTTTGTTTTTTTTGAACAAAGGAACTAAAGCTGTAGTGAGAAACTTTCTCCATGACACCCAAGCACTATCTCTTAATTATTAGTGTCGCACTTGAATTTTCAGGGTAATAAACAGGACAGCCATTTCTACATACCTTGGTTTGCTCCTATAGTCAAGAAAGAAGAGAATTAAGCTATGTTTCTCTAAACATTCAAAGTAACCTAGCATTAATTGAGAATACATATCAGAAGATGCAAAAGAATAAAAATAAGCATTTTTCTTTTGAGGTAATATCAAGCAGCATTTACAAAATCCTCCTGACTTTATCTGTGCTGCACAGCAGTAAAGACATGTAGCCACTCCTTTCTCAACCTTTTGTACCAGAACACAATCTACACAGATTAAGCTATGACCATAAACATTTAACCTGCTCACCAATCTACACTCACAGTAAAAGACCTACAGTAAAATTAGAACAAGATCAGACACGAAGTTGAATAAACGACATAAAATTAAGTTTCTGGCTCATATTTGTGTTCTTCCTGTATCTCGGTACAGCACGACTGACAGAATGAAACAGGGAGAATATAAAATGGCAAAAAATGATCAAACATCAATGGCTGATCTGTGCTCTGAATATATAGAAAAATAAATAGACAAATAGCCATCTGTTGTCCTGTGCTCTTTTTCCAAATGAGTCAATCAAGTGTATGTCATCCAAAGAAAAAAGAAGAAAAAGTAATTTTAAAGAAAAATGACATTTTTTTTTTCCCCACAACTCTGAACTGCTTAGCAGTATCCCGATTTGCGTTTTACAGTTTAGAAAACTAAATCCAGCTCCAAGCCTAAAAGAAACCCAAAGGCTTGGTCAAGCATGTTTTTACTTGCTGCCATCCATCTACTAAGCACTCACACAACTATGAAATCAATCTGAGTTATTGTGAATCCTAAGTGATCGAGCCACTAGGCTTGAACTTGGATTCTGTGGTCATGTATTTTAAATGTTTCTGGTATTTAAAAGGGTTGAAAAAGTGAGTCCATTGTGGTCTTTGTTCACAAAAATGCCGAGTACCCAATGGATTTTGAAAACCAATAGAAATTAACTACATACCTCAAATAAAAGTATGACTTCTTGTGTCCTTTAAGTACTCCACCCACATAAACACATGACAAAAAAAGGAGGAAAAACTGCTAGTTTCACTTGTCTCTTTTCTTCCGCCTCAGACAAAGTAAATCCAGGCCCTCGTCTGTGCTGTTTGGATGTGCAGGCACAAACCTTGTGCCAGAGAAGAAAGGTTTGACTAGGGCCTCCAGCTGGATGAAAGGCAGGCAGGATGGATAACAGGTTAAATGGAGAGAGACACGTCTAGTGGTTTCAAGTTTGTCCGGAAAGAGCCGGGATCCCCCGTGCCTAACAGCTCTGGGCTTGAACAAACAGTGCAGTGATCTTTGGACCTGGATGGTGAGACGAGGCAGGAGTGAAGGGGCAGTAAAACAACAGTACAGGTGAAATGTTCCAGCCAATCAGGGCCAACATAATGGTTGCAATCTGAGCAGTCAGGTATGTAGCACACCCTCTGATACTGTATGCGCACATGCTCATTTTTCAGTATCAGCTCCTTTAACCCAGTTCACATTTTGCACCTGCATGGGAAGGAATCAAGCCAAATTTGCTGCATTCTTGAAGAATAAACATGTTTTATGACAACTTAAGGTGAGTTGTGACATAATGACTAAATACTGTGACTTCACAAAAGATATGGACATCCAGATGCTTTCAGAAATAGAATACAATATCTGAGCTCGAACACAAAGGAAGACTGTGTCAACCAGGAGACATCAACATGAACCGCTTGCTAAATTTGTTATGTTGCATGCTCAGCTGTGCATGCTCTCATCCTGCTAATATGAACACAAATACAGTACTTGACCCTATGCACCGATGTTAGAAGAAACAATGTTTTCAAAGTGAAAAAATTAAGAGACGATTCAACAGGAAAAACTAAAGCATGCAATTTGCTGACAATCAAAATAAAACATTCAAGAGCATTCCTTGAATGTAAACAAAATAATATTTTACACTTCATAGCTGCATGGTGGTGATGTGAAATTCGTCTGACTGTTAAACAACAGTAACCAGCAGGAGAATCATAATCAACCATTCTGATTTAGAAAATAGGCTCAAATGGAAGATTTTCAATTTGTTACATGCACAAGGTAAGAACATTTCTATGCGCATGTTAGTGAATAAGGTCCACTGCCTGTCTGCCGTTTGGTGTTTACAGTCTTATGCAAAAGTTTAGGCACCCCTTGATACATAACAGATTTTGGTGATTTTTTATTTGAACAGATGTTAACACAGTTTCTCTTGGAAATGGAAAAAATGCACAATATTTTCTGCAAACAGTGATGCATAGTTACTTCTTATGCCATAAATTGAACAAAAATAAAAAATAAAAACATTATTATGGCATGGTGCAAAAGTTTGGGCACCCTACACAATCAGTACTTAGTAACACCTCCTCTGGCAGATATCACAGCTTGCAAACGCTTTTCATAGCCAGCTAAAAGTCTTTCAATTCTTGTACTTGGGATCTTCTCCCATTCTTCCTTGCAAAAGGCTTCTAGTTCTGTAATATTCTTTGGTCGTCTTGCATGCACAGCTCTTTTAAGATCTACCCACAAATTTTCAATGATGTTTAAATCAGGGGACTGTGATGGCCATTCCAAAACCTTCAGCCTGCGTCTCTTGAGGTATTCCATAGTGGATTTCGAGGTATGTTTAGGATCATTGTCCTGTTGTAGAAGCCATCCTCTTTTCAGCTTCAGCTTTTTTACAGATGGTGTGATGTTTGCTTCCAGAATTTGCTGGTATTTAGTGGAATCCATTCTTCCCTCCACCCGTGCAATGTTTCCTGTGCCACTGGCTGCAACACAACCCCAGAGCATGATAGATCCACCCCCATGCTTAATAGTTGGCAAGGTGTTCTTTTCATGAAATGCTGCTCCTTTTTTTCTCCAAACATGCCTTTGCTGATTGTGTCCAAAGAGTTCTATTTTAACTTCATCAGTCCACAGCACTTGTTTCCAAAACGCATCGGGCTTCTGTAGATGTCCTGTTGCATACTTCAGACGTTGGATTTTATGATGGGGACGCAGATAAGGTTTTCTTCTGCTGACTCTTCCATGAAGGCCTTGTCTGTGCAAGCATCGCTGCACAGTGGAACGGTGCACCACCACTCCTGAGTCTGCTAAATCTTCCTGCAGGTTTTTTGCAGTCAAATGGGGGTTTTGATTTGTCTTTCTGACCAGCATACGAGCAGTTCTGTCCGAGAGTTTTCTTGGTCTTCCAGATCTCATCTTGACCTCCACAGTTCCCCTGATCTGCCATCTCTTAATTACATTTCTTACTGTGGAAACTGCAAGCTGACAACGCTTTGCTATCTTCTTGTAGCCTTCTCCTGCATTGTGGGCATCAATAACTTTCATTTTCAGGGTCTTACACAGCTGCTTAGAGGAACCCATGGTTGCTGGGTGTCCACAAGTGTGTGCACAAGGTTTGAAGAGTCAAAGTATTTGTACAGCTTTGAAATTGGCATTTACCAATGACAGCTGTTGCTGTGCATCAGATCTAACGAGCTGATTAAGGTCTGATACCTTGTGAGAGACTTTGAGACTCTGGAACTCTTAGGGTGCCCAAACTTTTGCACCATGCCATAATAATGTTTTTATTTTTTATTTTTGTTCAATTTATGGCATAAGAAGTAACTATGCATCACTGTTTGCAGAAAATATTGTGCATTTTTTCCATTTCCAAGAGAAACTGTGTTAACATCTGTTCAAATAAAAAATCACCAAAATCTGTTATTTATCAAGGGGTGCCTAAACTTTTGCATAAGACTGTATGTATTTTTGTATCAGTCAGCAGTGACTGCACCTCAGAATGAAATCTGTCCCACAAAAATAGATTACAAACACTTACAATCCCCCAAATTCAAAACAAGAAGTTAAATTTGGTGCTTCTCTTTGCAGGCCAACTAATGCCTTTCGTTATTATTCTAACGTACTTAACTAGTCAAAATGATAGTGGAAAATAAATAAAGCCAAAAGGTTTTTGCACCAAACAAGACAAGACACCAAATGTAATTAAAATCTAAAGTCAGTGTCATGTTGTAGTGAGAAGAAAAAAAAGACACAGAGACATTTATATATAGTTCTCAAATACTTCATATAAAATTCATGAATCAGAACGTTTACATTATGACAACATTTCAGTCACAATGAGAAGAAAACAGCACAAAGAATCAGTTACTGTGACAGACACACTGTACTTGTTAACTATAGCACTGATTTAGTAATAGTGCACAGGTTAACAAATTTAAAAAATAGAGGTAAAAAAAAAAAATGATGGCACAAGGACCATGTATATTACAGAATGGCAATGAAACATTTACCCTCAAACTAACAAATTATTCACAAGGGTTAGTGAAGTGTAACCAAGACTGTGATCAGTTTAAAAAGTGCACCTATTGATGTTTTCATAATATGGCAGTATTCATCCTTCATTAAGTATAATATTTTAATATATCATCAGTTAAGAACAAATCCACTGGCACACATCTCACCACAGTATGTCTGCCCATAAAACTCAAACCTATCTTACAATTCAGTGACGTCATCCCAAACCATTAAACAGACTGGAAAAAAACAAACAAGCAGCTTATAGTGTGTATAGTTTGCAATATCATCAAAAATTAAATAGTACAAAATGATTAGGAACGTACAATGGAAAACTCATTTGTCAACATTGTGGGCAAAGAAGTGGGTGATCCTCATTGAAATCCAAGGATAAAAGAACATAATAAAAGGAGAAATACACATTTTTGTTAGTTTTTTTCACCAAAGTAAGGCCACTCATAGGAAGAGTAGAATCAAATAGAGCAGGAAGATATATGTAAACCATAAATTCAGCAGCTGAGGAGCTTGTGTCCAAATGTTCAGATGACCTTTTAAAAGAGGAAAAAGTCATTACCTGAAAGTTCAACCTGTAAATATTTCTCTACTATGAATGAACAACTCTAAAAGACATTGCCTGCCGTCAATCAAGGACACAAGTTGCCAGTTTTGGTTTTAATTTCATTAAACAGTAGGTTGTCACTTTATTCTAAGGGTGTATAATGTATGTCACCTTGTAAAGAAGCAGCTGTTTATGTGTACAAAGCTACGGAAGCAACTCATCTGGACTGTGCAAATTCTCAAATACAATGATCTGGCAAACATGTCGGTTTCCTGCAGTAAACAACATTTTAAATCCTGGGCTTTGAAAAGCATAGGCAACAATAAAAATCTATAAAATAAATAAATAAAATGGCTGCAGCGTCATGGTTACACTAGCCCGCAAAAGCAGAGCTGTTAATTGAGCTTATAAATACAGTAAATATGGCCAGAGCAGGACTCTCCCATAATATACAGTACACAATGAAATGCCCACACACTTCTCTCTTATGAGGTTTTGATTTAAATCATATTGATTTTACTGCTCCACTGGTGTCTTTCCTGGGGAAAAATAGAATGGATACATACTATGGCAAGGCACAAATTTACCTTTTCAATACTTTAAATTAATGGGTAAGATGAAGTGTTATTACTTTCAGTACCTTCTCCTGAAACTTTAGCTTTACATGATTCACTTGTAAAATATTTAATCTTCTTTAAAAACTGACTACAACTGTCACCTAGTGACCAGTCACTCTCGTGTCAATCAAAAGGAATCTTATTAAGATAAACCAGGTGGTATTTTCACATTTAGTCAAGCCATCACAGTGGACCTACAGAACACAGCATTCAAAAGACTTCTTTACTTGACACATTCACAGTTTGCAGAGTGTAAGGCATCAAATGCATGGCCATGTCTGAAAGGTTTAAGAGGACTTATTTCACAACAACACTGGGCAGGTGTGGGAACATGTTTGGCCCTCCAGTGGGGCCTGGCATCCTCTGTTCCCTGGAGGCTAGGGCTTGCACACTGTGCCACTAGCTCATGAAGAGAGGGAGTAAAAATAACAAGGTTAAATGATTGAGTATATGACCACTGCCTAGTGACACAGCTGGTGAGAGTAAAGGCTGAGTGAACCAGTGTCTATGAGGCTGTGTGCTACAGTATACGGTAGCTCTGTAAATAACCTGTGTTTGAGGAACATAGCGCAAGTATTTCTCTGAAATACCCAGAGTGTGAATGTGACAGGGTGTTGGTGAGCTTGGCAAGGTGACACCAAACAGTCAGCAGCAGCTAAGACACATCAAAGGTCTAAGAAAGAGGCCACATGGCCATCTACAGAAGATATTTCCCTGCATTTTGACAAGACTGTCACACGGGATTCCTCACTTATTCTGAAATTAGGAGACCTTCCATCTTTTGTCTTTCTCTCTCCGTCTCCAGCTCTCTCATCTGCCTTCTTCAGCTGAACGTGCTTCTGATTTCAGCCTCACAAACTCCTTGGCCACGTCATCGCTGGAGCGTTGGGAGAGGATTCGCATGGCGGTGAGTCCAGTGTTATCCATGTGGATACGTTGTCCGAGTGGGCACCAGCAGGCACAGTTGCCCTTCTCCGTGATGTCTCTTAATTGTATCACTGCCAAGCCTACCACTCGGTCAGCACGGCCAAAGCAGTAGTCTTTGACACAGACTTGCAGCTCGTAGCACTCGAAGCCATCCTGGTTACCCAAAACACTGGACAGAGAAACAGAGTTTTGTACCTTCAGTTACCTTAGAGCTGCACCAAGTACTCATTTTCTTTCAAGAGACACCCGCTTGGTACAATATTGCATTAGCAACAACAGAGAACCCAAACCATAACTTAATACTGCAGATGCTCTAGATTTACTTCAAAAAGGTACATTAACTAAGATTATAATCAAGTAAAAATGGAACAGGATGTGGTGTTTCTCTGCTGTAGCCCTTCTGTTGTTACTCCGGCTTATCTACCCTGTGTTGTCAAAATCAAGTCCATAAGTTAGACCCACCTGCCACCTAGCTAAGGTTATTGGAAGTGCTTTTCGAACCACAAGTACTCATTTCAACAGCCTGCCACGGAGGAGCCCTCAGCAGCTAAAAGCCTAAAACAGGGGCTGAAGATGCTACATTCTTTTGTGCAGAGAGAATGGGAAGAGCAAAAACCAGGGTTAACATCAGTTTGGCTTTTTTGAGATGGAGGGCATTATATGCAGCCAAAGGATTCCGATTTGATTTAGATGCAGCATTTTTTTTATTCTGGATGTGTTAGGATCAAAAATGAGTGTGTCTGTTTTGGTAACATTAGTCTGCACGGTCATGATTTTACCTTTGTATTGAGTTAATATGATTTTATTTTCAGGGTAATTCAAGCTTTGTGTGACATTAGCAGTAACCAGAGTGTTCTACTGGACTGATAAGTTTACTTGTTAGTCAGCTAATGTTAGCTTTGGACTGAAGGCTGCATTTTGAACAGTCTGTTATAATCAGGCATCTGTAATTTACACTGTCGCTGGGAAACAAGATGTGATGGGAGGGGCAAAGAGCAGTTTGGAGCAACTCTGGGTGCCAGTTAGTTCTGAATCTCACTAGACCCTCTAGTGGCTAAGAAAAACATTAGGTAGTGTAGTTTTAAGTATAGCAGTTAAACGCGGGCAACACACAAGCAACAAATCACAGATTAGCCAGGTTGGTAATAATAGTGATGCCACATCACATCACTTTGAGTGCTGAAGTTGGAGTTAATAGTGTGCGAGTTTACAAGTTTTCTATTGTAGTTTCCAGTATGGAAAACATACAATATACATCTTCTGTAAACAGAAATGATGTGCAGTGGTAAGCATTTACACAGCTAGTGATGCTATTGGACAGCAACAAAACCACAGTAATAAAAGACATTTCCAAGATCTCATCAATCACCTCTAGTAAATACCTACATACATACATACATACATTCAGTGGCTGTTCTTTCTTAATGCATAAAGAATTACAATAGTGGGTACAACTGCTGCAGTAGGCTACTTACAAGTGGAAGGTTTCATTGTACTTGGGGGACCAGCTGTTGTTCTTGGATTTGGTCTGGAATTTGTGTTTCTTATCGCTGAGATGAGGACCAATCATCGTGATCTCCACAAAGGGCCGGAACATACCAGATGTCTGCCATTTTAAATCACTGGCTCCCACAACTATAGTAACCCATGTGACAAACACACACACAACATGTAAACACACAGACACACACAGATGAGACAGATGATGTCATCATGACTAAATGTTGCTGAAAATGTCAAATTTTTTAAAATTCATAAACTCAAACTGACCTTTGACAGTAACTTTTCGCTCCCCATTTCCAGGATGAGTGTACAGCTCAATCTGGACAGACACCTCACCTATCGGTTTGTCCACGCCTGAACCTAGTATAGCACATACCCAGACACAACAGTGAGTTTTCATTTGACCCCAAAAAGAAACTGTAAATCACAGTGCCATCAGTATGAGCAGGAGATACAGGTGGAGAGACTGGGTTAGGGTTGACCTTCCTACCTTGGTGGTACAGTGGGACAAAATGTACAAAGGAAGAGTGGGTAGGGTTAGGGTTAGGGTAAGAGCAGAGAGCTGGCAGATGATTTTTAATGAAACCTACCCCTGATGGGCTGTATTTTTTCACTTGGAGTTAACCTAATACCCTTTCCATTGTGCACTGGCACACACGCAGCACAGAAGATAAAGAGAAGACAGCAATAACATGTCAACAAATTCCAGCATCAAGAACATCTTAAATACACAGAATACAAGTTCAAATCTAAGTGAGAAAGTATTCAGTGAGCCATTGCACAGTTGGTGCCCTCTGCTGGTCTACTATGAGAAAACCTCTCTTCCAATATTCTTTAGACAGTGGCCTAAACTACCTTGTGCATGTTGGGAGGTCACAAATGTCTTGATGAGTGTGTCTGTCGTCTGAGTGTAGAGGGACAGAGCATGGCGTAGTGAGGACAACTCAGGACTCTTTTCCAGGAACGCCTTCTTCAGGCCATTCCCTCCTGCGTGGAAGTATTGCTGTAAAGCAAACAGAGGGTGAATCAGTATCTAAAAGCAGCTTGGTTTATGTGCTTTGGAAGTTAAAATGATTTTGGTGTTTCACTTTGTAAACCAGTGCTCAGTTTTAAATAAATACTGAAGAAGCCAGCAGCTAGTCAAGAAAACAAGGTGAAACTTGATGAAGTTAATGCATCTGAATGAAACTAAAGCCTGAAGTATAAACTGACCTTGATAGTGTCCAGTGCCACATCCATGACAGCACACTGTCTGGGAGTCAGGCTTTTAGCCTCCCCTGCCATGTGGTCCTGCACAATCAAATGATGAGAAAAGAGATGAGTTAGCTCCATAAAGTTAGAGATACTTATTCTCAACAAGTCATATTATAATGCAGTTCTTCAGAGTCTGATAACACTGAGACCCAACAGGGAATTTAACATGGATTAACATGTATGAATGCATAATACCTTGAGTTTGGAGAGCTGACCCAGTTCCTTTGCAGCTGAGAGGATATTTATTCCCTGTAAGGTGGAAAAAAATAAAACTGCTTTGCTACTTTCTTTTGCTTTTCTGCATTTCAAAGTCAAATTATTCTGCAATACCAACAAATATTAAAGCAAACATTATGCGTACCACGTTTTCATTTCCCTGTGGCAGGACAATAGTCTTCTCCAGGCTGCTCATTACAATTCTCCACAGCTCCTTGAGCACACGCTTTAATACAGTCTTCTCACAGACAGTCGCAAACAGTGTCAGCCTACAAAAACATGCAAAAACACACAAGTACATACAGTACACACACAAGTTAATGAGATGCATGGACCATAGAAAGTGCTAGAGGTAACCCCAAACTGGTGCTGGCACTACAGAAAATGGTAAAAAAAAAATTAAATTTAAGATTATTTTCTAAATGATTTCTGCAAGATGACATTCAGTTCTAGTTTGATCTTAACATGGTGTGTGCATGTAAGTTACATTAGGACAAAAGAGGAAAAGGAGACATTTGTAGATGATGAAAAAGAAAAAAGGGGACATAATGTTTTACTAGACAGAGCTGCCATTAAAAGAGAGAAAGAGTACTTGAGTCTCTAATCCTGATTAATGCACTCACTTGCCATCCAGGAAATCCATGAGTGGCCTTAACATGTTGTCAGAGTCGACCTCCACCTGACTTTTGGTGTTGGCGTTGAGCGGGCCTTTGATCTGGTACAGAAGAGACGCCATCTGTCGCATACAATCGTTGATACGGCTCTCGAAACTGAAAAGATAAAATGATCAATCAGCATAAATGCATGCAAGGTCACATAATTTACTGTGTGTGTGTGTGTGTGTGTGTGTGTGTGTGTGTGTGTGTGTGTCTATGTACCTGTTACCAAATGTACTGCTGAGCTCATCCAGCACGTTGTTCAGCTTCACCTGCAGGTCATTTAATAAGTCACTGGCCTCAGTGTCCATCTGGGAAAGAGACACAGGCAGAAGCCCAGGAGGGTCTGGGTTATAGTGAAAGCCATTTATTGTATACAGCAGCAAAAATGAACAAGTTCAAAATGTCAAATCAAAATGCAGTGAAAGTGCAGTATGTGCCAACTTCAAACATGGAGGGTGTGTAACAGCATTTCATACAAGTTCCAATTCATATTTGCAGCTTGCATCTAAAATTATATTTAAATGTTTTAAAGCAGCACATCACTGCACAAACCAGAAGCTGCAAATGGTAGCAAAAAAATCTCATTAGTTAGTAGTTGTGTAACACCATGTTGTTATGAAAAAAAGCACCTCAGTCAAACTAGTTTTTCATGCTTCATACTATACCAAAGGGATGAACAGTAAACATTGCATTTAAGTTTCTTTCAGGTTTAAGTGTAATGTTTATATTCTATGTCCATCAAAGACACCCCAATTGTGGTTTGTAAAAAATGATTAAAGTTTAATATGAGGCTGAGCAAACCCATCTTTTTGTCAACAGTCTCCAATTTTCAGAGGGATCATACTGGAAAATAAAATTTTAATATTGCAGGAGCTGTTGTACGCATCTTACAAGAAGTGAGTCTCACAAGCACAGGGCGAGGAAACAAGGAGGAAAGATCCATGAATTACATCCAGTAGTGTATATACCTAACCCAGGTATAGTGTGGTGTCATTTACTAAATCAGCACTGCCTGGAGAGGTGCTAATAAGGATGAAGCCATGGCGTGGCTCATTAAGTCAGTGATCCATCGGGCTTTTGATTCATGGCCTGCGAGGGCACTATTAGTGCAGAGAATTGTTTGTTATGCAGCACACAGGGATAGCTTCAGGGGAAGAAGAAGTGGATTGTGTTCTGTTTGTAATGTGCTGTATATATTTTATTTTGCCTTTGAGTATTTGTGTTCCACGGTATATTAATATGCATGTGTCTGCACACCTATTTCTTTTCTTCAAGTGCATTTTCAGTCTATGGCATCACAGAAAGGTAGATGTTAACACAGGGCAAACAGTAATTTTTAGATTGGAATAAGAGTTTCATTTATATTAAATTGTAAACTACAAAGAATGAAAGGCCATTAAACAAAGTACTGTGGCAGTATGCAACATACCTTTTCTACTGGTTTATCAGTCTTTGTATGGTGGGATTGTTTTGAGATATTTTTAAGACGAATAAAACTGAAACTTTGTAAACAAACAAATAACTAACTAAATAAATAAATATCCTGTTTTGCTGTTTAAAACAGAGGCTAGAGGACTCTGACATCAGCCACTTGATATTAAAATTTAAAACACCAGAAACACTCCAAGTTCGTCACATAAGAAAACGTTCTATATGTGTAGCTTCATACCCACCTTCTCCTTGTCAGTCTAGTGCAAACAAACAACAACAACAAAAAAAATCAATTAAAAAAGGTACAACAGAAAATTCAGAAGCAAGTTGTTTAATGGGAAATGTGTGACCACTTTCGAGGGAAGACCGAGGAAAATGCCACAGAATAAGAGGGAAAACCTGAGGCGGAGATTCCCATAAATGGGGGAAACTGCACACAATAAAGTCAACCATGAAAATCACAAGAATGTCTTCTATTGGTATGACTGGGTGTACTTGTGACGTTGCTGGGAATAAGAGGAACAGGTAACCATTGCACAAGGATAACCTGGACTCCAAGCACGATGTGATAGGTTGAAGCCACTTCAGACTGCAACAAACCTCAATATCCATTTTCTCCCTGTCCTCCCCTACTTTCTCGTCACTCTCCTCAAAACAACAGTTGCAGTGAAAAGATGACAAAATGTTAGTGTATGTCTCAGTGCCACTCTCACCACAATCCTATTCAAAGCAGCATTCTTTTAAGCAAATGTTGGTGCTTCTATTTCCACAAATATATTATAAACAATGTAATATTTAATTTCTGTAAGTAGTGAGATGAACGTGAAAGTATATGAACTCGTGTATCACAAAACGTATGCATATACAGTACAGTGAACTTGCCTGCCATGCTAGCATGCTACTGTTGAACTAGAAAAGAGTGGAAATAAGTATGACAGTGACTTCACTCTCCCCCCCAAAATGTATTTTTGCTAATTACACACAAAGGGAAAACACAGTTACTGACTCTGTACTGCTCCCATCCACAGTACCCACCAAAGCCTTTGCTTCCTCATCCTCAGTTATGCCCTAATTTCCACGCCAGAGGAAGATGAACTAATCAATACAGTGGCATACTGCACCATTAAATCACTTAAAGATAGGCATCTACTTTCTTATGGACTAATATCTGCCCGTTTCAGTTTTGCTTAGGAAACCTACCTCCTCCTCTACTGCCTGCTCCTCCTCTTCCAACAACTCATCTTGCTTTAATTGTAAATTAAACACACTAATTGAAACTTTAGCAACAGCATCCAGTAGTTACAGTCCAACAGCCAAATAATACTAACAGCTACAATAACTATAATACTGCACTATATGCAAAAGCGTGGTGGGGATTCAAAGCAGAGAAAGGTCACAGCTGAGGCTATTGAGTATCCTTATTGTAGATACACATAGGACAAGATTAAATTGTCTGTCTCAATATTCTCTCGTCTATTAGGCAGCACAGGATTTAATCTCTGTCATTATTGATCTGTCACAGCATCACATCAAACACTGGGACAGTGTACAAACCTAAAGAAACTTGCGTTTCTGTAGCATAACATTCACAGCATGAACAACATTGACTGTAGCTTTGTTCGAATTTGCCACCACCAGTCTTATCCAGTACTTCAAGGCTCTAAACTACAACTACTGCAAATACCCGTGCTTCCTTTGTTGCAGTCCCGATACACAAGAGACACAGAAATACAACTGGTGTAGAAGAAACCACTCCTAAAATAAAAATGTCTAGTTGCTAGTCTGGCTGTCTTCTGACCACAGAGATTGAGATTTTAATCATACTGGATATTGTCACCCATTCATTATGTAGTAATACAGTGTGTATATAGCACATCAAATTTGTGTGTGCATCCACACCTTTGTCTCCAGACTTACCTGTTGGGCCCCCATTGATTCAAACATCTTCTCCAGCTGGATTCGTAACTGCTGCACATTATTCAGCAGAACACAAGGCTAAAATTGACAGAGGAAAAAGGGATAAAGTCAGTGGCTACTGTTTAAAGTATTTTTACACCCAGAATACACATATTTGATTTGAGTTACTTAATTATTCAACTTTGGAAACATTTGAGACAGAGCGCCTTTTAGTTGGGTAAATACAGTATGTAACTGCAATTGCAATGATGGCCATCATAGCCATGACTTTAAAATGGCTAAATGCTGTATATAAAACATTGAACAAGGGAAACAACTTACAATCTTCTCCTTATCAATATATGGTGGAAAACTCTTGGTCAGAATGGAACTGTACTGCAAAAGGACTTTGGCAATTGTCTGCAAAAGTGAAGAGGAACAAAGACTTTAAAACTAAAAATGGAACAAAAAAGGATAAGATTTAATTTCAAACCGTTTAAAATCCAGTTACTTGTTTCTAATAAAGCATTTAGAGTGAAATATATTACACTGGTGGGACTTGTGTCTGAAGAATCATCTTGCCTGAAACATTTGTTGGTTGTCCCCTAGCGTATTCTGTGCCACACAGCTAAACAAATCCCTCCTTCCCCAAGGAAAGCTTTATTATGCCCAATTCAACTTTCTCTTCACATAATTCTATAGCTGTCCTATAATTCCCCTTATCTGTGTTAGCTAAAAAAAAGAGGAGAATGGTCACCATCAGATATGCTTTTAAATGTAAATATTCAAAATGAACAAATGACAGCCAATCCATAAAATATGGAACGTTTTGTGTTGCTCCAGCATACAACAAGGTGAGGGCATTTTTTTGGATTCATCACCCAACATGTGTTACCTTGGAGAAACGGCGACTGTACTGAGCCATGACGTCAGGGTCAGGACATTCCAGTTTCTTGATGATCTCAAAGCTCTGGTTGAGCTGGGTAAAAATGTCCACCACGGAGCAGGAGAACAGAGCATGCTCAGACGTCTGTTGAAACTGAGATGGCATAAGATGGTAAGGAGAAAAACACAAACACTACTTGGTAATTATCAATATCCATACATGCATGGAATTAAAAATGCTGCAAAGGTAACATCATAGCAAAGGTCAGCTTTAATTCCCTTACTCCATCTTTTTTGTCTCTCTCCAATGCTCCATGCATAAACTCCATAGACACGTCCTCATTTTCATTCAACCACTGCAGCACAAATTGTAAGAACCATCTACAAGGGAAAGTAAAGATCAACATGCTCAGATTAATGAAAAAAATTCTTCTGTTATTTCACTAACTGATAAAAAAAAAAAAAAAAATCATAATGCTTTTTGTGCCTATGAGCGAATAAGTCACGTGCACTTACGATGGGTAGTCAGGAACAACACCCTTAAAGTTTGGCAGCTCCTTTACATATTCATTGTGCAGCCACTTGACTTTAAAGTGCAGGTTCATGTAGTCAGTGCTCTTACACAGTCTGTGCTTCTCATGCTCTGTACATACAAAGACATGAAGAGCCTGTGAGGTTTCTGTTAAATCTGTGCCAGAGAGTGGAAGAGAAACTTAACCCCTTACTGATGCAACTGTTCTCAAATCTGGCTGTACCCTCTGCCTCCAATCTCCAATCTTTATGTGGTTGCGCTCATTTGAGCTTAAGATGCATGCAAAAAATGTCATGGGAAAATGTTTGCATATGAAACAATAATGACTAGTTCAAAACAGACATAACTAAGTAGTTCAATATCTATTTAATGACCTACTAAAATCTACTGCTAGGATAAGGATAATCGGATAATCACCTTTATTGGCCAAGTATGTTACACACAAGGAATTTGTTTCCGGTACAGAACCGATACTCTCAAAGTACACTTTAGCAGCACTTCAGGAGCAAAATCTCTCTGCACTCAGTCTGTCTTCTGAACACATTTTCCATCCCTTTTTATATTTATGCAAATTGGAAATAAAGGGGCAACTGCTGCTGTACTTTCTTCCTCTGTGGTGGATTCAACTTGAGGATAGAAAAAATGCAGAGAAGTTCCTGATAAATACAGTTTACACAGCTCTCAAACCCTGCACAGTTATTATTTCACTCTTTTTTTGCCTCAGACTTTCTCTTCTCTTCTAGCCATTTCCAGTTTCATCAGAGCTTCTCTCGGTCATTGCTCTTACCCTCTGACCCCTCAGGTTTTCCCTAATAGCCCCACAAAGCATCAAAGCAGAATACTACTATAATGAGCCTAGGGTATGACTTCACAGTCTACTACATACTGTGTGCAACATAATGTGGAACAAGCTAAAGAAAAATCTTTTTCTTTTGAAGAGACCAAGTTCATTTTGCTGAAATGATTCTGTGTATCACTAATACAGCAAAGCATGAGACACTGAGTGAGATGATAGATATAAAGATTTACCTTCCATAGCATATTTCATGTCTTGAGCAAACAACGTCCACATGACCTCTGCTGACACCTTTCCTACATTCAGTTCTTGAGGAAATCTGTTGGAAAAGTGACAGCTCTGACAAACTTATAAACAATTTTAATTAAGAAAACATGCTTTCTATTAAATTCTAAGACCAAGCAAAGTATGCTAGATTATCATGATAACTACATATTAAACAAAACGCCTCCGGTCAATGTAGCAAACTTCAAGATTTATTCAAGCTGTCTGTATGTCCCTGCTGTTTTAATATAATACAGATATAGGAAGTGTATGCCAGTGACTAACTGGTTGAGCACAGGTGTATAGGAGTTTCTGTCTTCTTCAATGATGGAGACGATGAGCATGATGAGCTTGGGCCAGAAATCTAAATTCTTGATACTCGGACCCTGCTCCTCCAAAGGGAGCTCTTCCTTGTTCTGGATTAGAGAAGAAAACACTTTATGGTCAATAAAAAGATAGAAGTTAAATGCAATCAGTGTGGCGCATGCAAGTTACAGTGGACATGGAATTCTATGGAATTTTAAGTTGTTTCATTACTATACTCGGCAGTCAGGCATACAGTTATCTCAAGACAAGTCATCATTGTCCCAAACTGTCTCAGTTTGCTTATAGATAAAGTAAACTACAGGTTAAAGGTTAAAGTAGAGAAAATCAGAGATACTGTTATATAATTATACTGTACATGTCTGTTGCTATCAGGCCTAGCTGTTGCACCTGGTACAGTTGAACAGTTATGCGACTCACCGTTTCCACAGGTTGGTACTGCCTGCTATACAGCTCATGGCAGTTATTGAAGATGTAGTCATATGTAGAGTTGAGACATGCCTTGACACAGTCCCTCACAACTTGACTGGCTCTGGGTGGAGACTGTAGTTCCTGAACCTGAACACCACATGGAGAGAGCAACAATGGCAGTGAATGACTACAGATAGTTAATGGCACTTTATCAGTGTGCGCAGTACCTGTAATAATTGCTGAAAAAAATGAATACTGTTCACCTAATTAATCAGGCAATAACATTTAAAATGTGCCATTTAAACATGCTGCTAACCAGTTTATGTGATTCTACTGGGAGCAAGTATAGTAAAAACATTGTTGCAAGACATGAAACACTGAACTACCTTCATCCTGAAGAAAGTGATGCTGGTTAGAAGATCCACGGTAGATTTTAAATCCTGCAGGCGATCTTTGCTGCTGGCAGGGAAGTGGTTCTACAGTACAAAAACATGTAAAATTAAGTTTAACAAATAATAAATGTAATGAAATTAATAATTATTACAGACATTTAGTACCTAGCAATAATGACAACATGGAGACCTTATGCTTTGCACTACTGTTTAAGACTGAACACTAAGCAGCTGTTACAGTTTGTACGTTAAATCAGAAACATTCTCACAGAAAAGGAGTTCAAAGAGCATATTGGTCAAAAATATTTGGCATCAGTAGCTTTGCTTTTGTAAAAATGATTTAATATGTGCCTTAAATTCATGAAAACACAACAAATAATACATCATCAGCAATGCTGAAGCAATATTTCAGTATCAAGGTAACAATACACAACTTGTTTAACATCATCAGTCATTAGTTTTAAGTACAGTCACAATCTTACCCTGTAAGTTGAGAGGTCAATGCGCAAGGAGTTGTGTAGCTGGTCTAAGAGCTTAACAAAACGCTCTTTCTACATGGTGAAAAAAATAATAATGATGAGACATAGTACATGTTTGTCTATTATGTATTTAAAAATGTAGGAAGAAAGACAGAGGCTACTTGGGTATACATTATGTATAGGTAGCAGAGAATGAGGAAGAGAAAAAAAACAGAGGCACAACACATATTTAGTGTGTGTGTGTTAGTTACAGTAATACAAACCCCAAAATTAGAAGCAGCAAAGCGGTCGGAGGCGGACACATTGGTGGAGGCGGTTGTGTGGGCGTAGAAGGCATTGATATTGGCCAGCAGGGTACTCATCACTGCAGGAACCCCAGGACACATGTACTTAGATGACAAACAAGCAAAGTGCCTGTAAAAGAGGAATGCAAACAAAGCTAGGAAAAGACCTGGGTAGAGGGCCTAGTCTTCCTCTCATTTTTACCTGCTCGTGCATAAAGACATTTTATTGTCATGGAGAAGCAGCACTGGCAAAGTAATGAATAGCTGTGCCTTTATTTTGTCAGCCTGTCCTCTCAAGGGTCTTTTTTGCACCTAATAATCCCTATTAAGAATGGTCATTTCATCTTCCTATCGGTTAGCTGGCATGTCTCGAGTGAAGGATGGTTCAGCGGAGTGTGCTTTCTGTGAGTGATGGGCCAAGCTAACAGGTATCTATATGGAGCATGACAGATTATGGAGTCAAATCCATCCTCCTTTTCCTTCATTTGGAGGCCAAGAGGGAATAGGAACTGCACTAAGAAGCACTTTTGTATGAGAGGAAAAAGGCAGAAAGAACATAAGGGACAGCAGGGATGAAAAGGTGACAAACATAGACTGGTGGGGAGAGCACTAGGAAGACAATGTTTATGTCTCCTCTGGTATCTCAAACTCACGTCATGGCCTGGTAGATCGATTCAATCCCATAGCGCATGGCAAACTCATCCACTATTTCCTGAGCCACATCATCAAAGTACACTTTCCACGCATCATCTCCACGAGCCTCTGGAATTTTCACCACACCCTGGCCAAGCATATCGGTCGAATGGTGGAACAGGTTCTGTAATGAACAGAAACACTGTGCTAATATCATTTGAATAGATTGTAGCATTCAGAGGGAAGGAACAGTAAACACAAGCAATAAAGAGATGGCAAAGTGACAATGGATTTTACAGAACCAGTCCAATTATTATATTATGCAGAAGTGTATATATAACAGTACTTTAACAGGATATGTGTGGTAAGGGCAATAAGGGATTAAAACCTTTTGGCCTTACTGATTATGTAACTGTCTATTTTATAAGCACAAGTTTTGTAAATAGATACCAAATATCAAACCAGGAATCTACTACCTGTGAGAGTGGCATCTTTAAAAATGTTTAAGTGAGATGACATTTCTAGATGTAGCAGACAATCCTTTATGTGTTCAGTGTATTAACACAGGCATGGCTAATGGTTTCTGCAGAAACTAATACCTCATGCAAGCAGGTGTACTGCACATGATACGGAGCCACTTTCTCCTCTCCCTTGATCTCCACATTAATTTGTAGGCGAATGGCACCTGACACGGCTGACTTATCTGTCCGCTTCTCTGTAATTAAACACAAATAGAGTCAGTGCAGTTACATAGCTACACAAATACTGAGACATCTGGACATTATTGATTCATAACTCCAATCCAACTCCGTGACACAGAGGCAAATGAACCCAGGTCTGTTAGTACAATGCTAATTACAGACTATTAACATGGCAGTTCTATTGTAGGGGGCTCTGTTTCTACAGTTTGATGGCAGCACAGCAGCAACGATGCTAATAGAAGTCCTCCAGCTGATAGTGAGGGAGACAATGGTGGTGGGCTGTATGGATCTGCGCCTGATTACCAAAGTCACTTGAGCCAGAGCTTCTCTGGAAGTGGCGTGCTTGGCGGCTCACCCCTGCTATTTGCCCTGACAGGCACATCATTAGGGGTAATTTGTACATGTCAGCACAGTGGTCGATTGCTAACAGGAGTGCTGCTATTTGATAATCACAGATCAGGAGAGAGAATGAGGAAGGGGAAGGGTGCTTTGGAGAAGAAGAATGAGATAAAGAAGATAAAATACAGTTTGAAATGGATAGGGTGTATTACATGACTGATCAGTTTTATTTCTAAATCTAATTCCTAATAACTCCCAACCAAAGAAATATTTTGATGTGAATATTATAGGGATATTAAATTGAACACTTCATAGCTCCCAGTTTAACAGAAACAAGAACAGATTTATAGGCACATTCATGATCAGTGCCATGCTGTTCCAGTGGAAGATTTATTATTGCCATAGTGAAGTCAATTTCATCACATCAATGAAGTATAAAACAAGAGATGCTTTGTGCTTAAAATCTGCACAATCATGGCAAAAATTATAATCATGATTATTTTTGTGAATATTGAGATCATGGTTATTTAACACAATTACTCATCGACTTTGAAAACATCATGCATTTGTTGAACTTAAAAAAGCTTGTCTTTAAACAGTGGGGTTTCTTTAACTTTAAATAGGATTCGACTGAAAAACAAAATATTATCCAATTGTGACCGATAGTTCAGAGGAAACTAAAAAAAATTGAGAATTTCATGTGACTATGGTTTTGTCTTTAAAAACAAAAAGCCACTGTTTTTCCTTGCTTTTACCAGTGCCTGGAAATAACACGACAATGAGGTCAGTACATAATTTTTCTACAGCTGTGCACAGCCATTTGAAGGCAAGGCATCCAGCAGAAAGTGGGTGCGGTCCACAGATTAACAGTCAGTGTCTAGCTTTGTCACCCAAAGAAGGACGTTTGATGATCGATGTGCAGAGCAAATAATATCCCTGATCACAAAACCATGTTCGAATAATTGTTGAACAGTTCCCAGCAAATATGAAATAGTATTTTAGCTAGTTCTTCCAAAAACAGAATTGAAAATAAAATTCGATTAACTGCCTCATCATCCAAAGACTCTTCTGAGGAACAAGGAGTGAAATAGCAAGCATCCTTCACAGAAGTCTTTCATAGACTAACAAGCCCCTTTATCTTACAATAGTTGGTGATTGGACCCTTCAGATGAACAATCATAGGAAAAGAAGTCCCATGTCATGTTTCCTCAAGTCCTATTTTCTCACAGCTCTGTGCCTTCTAAATCCAAATGAGCATGCATCTAAGTTTAGGTACAAGTTACAAACAATTTTTATAGCATCTTAAAAAAACACCAATAAAACAATACCAAAAAAATAAATAAAATCAACAATACTCCTCTTTACATACAGTATGTTTCAGTCTATAAAAAGGACAAGACAGCATACTGACCCAGGTTGTACCAGACGTCCATTTCGCCACTTAGCGTTCGAACTTCAATAATGCTCTGTCCCAGGAAATCATCCGATTCCCTTTTGAGACGTTGCTTCACCCTCGACTTGATGTCATCATCCTCATCCCACACACGTACTTTGATTCGGTCTGAGGAATTGTGGCACTCACTAACAAAACAAAACAACAAGACACAAAAAATCCCAAAGCAAAACAAAATAAACATACAAACTACAGAATAGTATTTTTGTTTTTTGAAAAGACTGACTAAGTAGCCTGATGGTAGCATATGATCCAATATTGGAAGATAGAAAGATACAGACACTCACTATTACAAAGAACCTTACATAAAAAAGTTTAACATTTACCCAAACATTATACAGCCAAGAAAGTTTGTGACTTACAAGTGGAACTTTTCTTCCCAGACAGGGTTGAGGTTGCCATAAATGGTTTTAGTTCTCTTCTTGGTCTTGCCCACCTGAACAGTGACATATGGATCACTTGATCCCGTCTTGTCCTTTGCCTGTAGTCCTTGGGCACAAACAACTAACAAAAAACACAAGAAACAAGCATTAGCATATACAAAAACACAATTTGCATTGTTGAAATTGATGCCAAGACAGAAATGTGTAGTAATTGAAATGTTGTTGAGGAATACCTGTGATGGTGATCTTGGCTGACCACTTTGAGGTCCCATCAAGTACACTCTGTTTGATGGTCTTCATCTGCTGTGCATGGATGGCTTTGCTGATGACAAACACTTCCCTGATTAGTTCAAAGATTTCTGGTTTGTTCCTCTCCCTGATCTTCATCCTGTCCTTCATGGCCATGATGATATTTTGAGTTCGGTCTTCAGCTCCATGCTTTGAGCTCTTCTCAGCAGCGCCTAAACATTTAATAAAAATGTACAGAGATTCAAAATCAATCAGTGGTAGCAGTGGACATGACAAGTTACATTTTCTCTGTGTGCAGAAAAATGGTGAAATGTTAATCACTTATTTTTTTTTTTTTTACAACATAATGAAACTGCTAGAAATCTCTATGCAATGAACTATTCATGAACTTTTGTGCATTTCTAGTCAACACAACATTGGTGACAATCAATTTTAGAGCACTGATTACCACTTCCTTTAAATTTTTTATGGGCGGTACTCACGCTGTAGACAGTCAGCATTCAGCAGCTCTTGGCATTTCTCATGGCATTTAACCCCACATTCAGAGCAACGCATGCCCTGGCGGGCAATTCCCCACAGTAGCCCCTCACACTCATAGCAGTATGTGGGCGTGGTGGCAGTCCATACTTCAAAGTTATGGGGTGTAGTGCAAGATATAGGGTAGATGAGGGCCTGCAGGGTCTTCTTGTACACATGGGCTTTCTACAGAAGGGGCAAAGCTTTTTTAATGCACTGACATCACAAAAGCACAGAATTTTAGAACGATAATCTTTCTTGTGGAACTGACATTATCAATCCTGAGTAGAGAAATCTTATTCTCACCAGTTCCTCATCCTTGATTGACGACCGTGCAGCCATAGCAGATGCAATCCCTGCCTTCCTGGCTTGGATGAGTGACTGGTGATGAAGGAACATTTAGCTGTTAGTATTTATTAAACCCATATACAACCCACAACCAAGCGCATCCCCAAAATATTACTATGACTATGAAGGTCAGTATGGTTAAAAAAAGTGCCCAAGGTAGTTAAAAGTGAGTAAGTTATATATTTGTTCCACTGGTGAATTCTTACCAGATGACCAGAAACCCATGTGAGTATTAGTTACATTCAACTAGTGGAGACATTACTAAAAGGAATAAGGTTATACCACTGTTAACGCTATAAAGGAATAAGAGGAACATTTGCCACAAAGTTTTTGTTAGTAGTGAATACTATCCATGAGCTTGTGCAATTGTCATGGCTCAGCAGAAAAATACAAACCCATAACCAAGAGGATGCATGCAAATGCTTTGATTTGTATTAAACAAGACGCCTGTGATCAAAGAGATCAGCATGCTATAGTGATACATGTTTGAAGCAACTACAGTTTGATTTGTCCTACTTGAGATTTTGTACTCTACTAGAAAAGGGAGTGGCAGCTGGGTTCTATTAACTTACCATAGCCTGACCAAGGAGATTGAACGCATTCAAGAGAGTTGTGGGAAATAGTTTTGGTTTTAAGAGAGGGGGGAGAGAAAAATTAACAATCTGATCTCATTTGTGTCCATTTGTTGATAACAACCTCATCCCAAATTCAGCTCAAAGGTAAAAAAAAAATGAAATAAAAAATAAAACTGACTTCTGTGGTGCTCTCACAAATAGAAAGAAATGCACTCGCAAAGAAAGAACAACATAAACAGGGTGATATAAATGACAGAGTATAGATAGCAAAAAACAAAACACACATACACAAAAAGACAGGCTAGTACTAACCACATCGCTGACCAAGGGGATAGGCTTCTTTTTACGCAGGTCTGGCATGCTGTCAATTCCATACAGACCAGTTCCACCACTATGCACCAACAAACAGTGTAAAAGTGAATATAAAGGCCTCACATACAATATCACTGCAGTGAACAATAAGGCATTGTCACTGTAATCAAAACATGCACTCATGACAGTAGTTTTGGTAGTATTAAAATACTAACTCTTTACAGTTATTTATTAAAATTTCACAAAAATTAAAAACTTAAAATAATGCTCAGAAAAAAAATAGACTTACCCTGGTTTGACCCAAGCCTGTCTCGCATTGGGATCTTCATCTTGACCCTACAAGATTTCAGTTTGAGAATTTAGGCTGACATGTTACCAAGGCCGACACATAGTAATAACATTATGAGACGAGGGAGGTAATGGAAAGTTAAATTTGGTTGAGCTTCACCTCTCTGTTGTTACAGAACATGCAATGACGAATAAAAGTGATGATGCTTTTAGAACACAGGCTCAAATAAATGTTGCTGGACTTTTTCATGGTATAAAAAGTTATGTAAAGTTCAATGACGGGCCAAACTAAACACAGATACAAACAGCACAGGATAAATTATATTTCACAGGCAAAGATTCAAGACACCACACATAACTTAGAAGTAGATAAAAGCCAGGTTTTGCAAGGACCTCACACAAGTTTAAAAATTGTGAATGAAGGAATACACATGTACACAAAGTCTTTTACTTCTTTCTCAAAGGTAAAGTTTTCCATCAGTATCTATAAATCCTTCTCTCAAATGAGAAGTTGAGAGCAGAAGGTTCAGTCTCACAGTATGAGTTTCTGATTGCGTTTATAAAGCTTCTGTTAAGAAAAAGCAGCTGTTGTAACACAAGCACCAGAAAACAATGGTGCTATAATATGAATCACATCAATTGTCAACTATGTTTTATACTGAGTAACTGAAGTGATGGGACAAACTCCTTGTCCAGAAAAAAAACGGGGACATATTCAATAATTAGCCATATGATAACATGTACCATTTGTAGTACACAAGCATCACCATTGACAAAGATACGCAAGACAAGTGATGGGTTAAAAAACAGTATCTGACAACAATCAAAATCAAAAGAATAAAAATGTGGCTTAAATAAGGAGCTAATGTTATGTAAGTAACCTGATTATCTTCTCTCCCACACTCTGCAAAAGGGGGAAAAAAAAATCACAGAAGAATTAGAAACCTTGTGGAGTAGCTCAAGCAGCTAACTAATTTGAGCACATTTGGAAGTCAGTGATTTAAAGAAAGACAACAAATAAACTAAAAATTCTCAGATCAGCAAGTGTTAACTGGGTATAATGTTATATTTAATCCTAAAGCTACAGAAGTACATTTAAACAGATCACTACCTGATATGATTTTTTTTAAGTGGGCATACCAGTGATTTAAGTTAAAGAACATATCCTTAAAAATACCTGAGGTGAACTCATCTTGAGACTGGGATCCCTGAGACCACTGAGAGCCATGGGACCCTTGGGAACCTTGAGCAGATTTGGACAGCCTATGGCGAGTTTGCCTCTTTTCCTTCAGAATCCGCTGGAAATTAGCAATACGCTCTCTGTGACTGGCATCAGTGGGCTTCTCTTGGCCAGCTTCATCAGATATGTTGCTTTCCCTAATTGGACTTAACTGCTCCTCATTAGTACTGTGCGCCGAAACCATCGGACTCTCACCATGCGTTGCCAGTGAATGGTCTAGTGTTGGGTCTAAGTTGGACACCTCCTTATCAGTTGGACATTCTATTTTTGCCTTTGATATTTCTACATACTCAAGAGGGGTGCAGGAAGAGTAGCTTGTTTCATCAGGGGACGAAGACTGAAGATTGCGTGACATGTTCTCAGGTGTCTCACCAGAATATACCAAGGCCTCACTTTCCTTCTTTGGAGTGTCAAACTGAGTGCGACTCTCTGTAAGACTAACTTTACCTTCTGTATTGTGTGTACTGCTCTGCTCCTCCTTGGGTTCAATGGCTTGCCTGATAGGGGAATGAGATGCCTCTGACCCACTGTCATCTTTCATATCTTCAGGGTTAGATGCTTCCAACTTTTTTAAAGCCCCTTTCAAAGCTGACTTGAAAGAGAGTACAGCCTTGCTAAATGTTGTTACATCAAAACCTACATTGGGAGTGTTGGGTGTAGCCTGAAAATCTATTTCAGAAGAATCCTGTGACAAAGATTCTCCTGCTTCATCCCTGGATATGCTGTGATCCGCCCATTCCCTGTCTAAACTCTCAACAGACCCTAGATCAAGAGTGTCGGCAGATGATGGACAATCATCGCATGGTGAATATGTCTCCAGGTAGCCATCATCACAATCTGTCAACAGCACAGTAGAGCAACTCAGGCTCCTAGAGGGCCCACTGTCCTGTTTATTTGCACAGGCATCCATGGTGTGATAACCTGAACTACGCGAGTACGGGCAGTTTGTAGCACAGTCACACTCCAGGTTTTCTTCTGCAGTTCGTTGGGTGCGGGGCCTCCAATCCACCATACTGGAAGAACTAGACGGAGAGTTATAATGAAGCTCAAACAACATTGAGAAATGCTCAGAGCTACTGCTTTGTTTTTCTCCTGTGGCACACCCACCCCAAACACCTAGACAACTCTCTAGCTCTTCTCCACCGTTGGCACAAGAGCAGATGTCCTCCTCACTCCACCCTCCTTCTCCACTTATACTGAGCTGCATACCAGCAGAAGGCCACTTGTCACAGTCTGTGTCGCTAGAAAGAAAACCTGCTTCTGGATAGTGTGAACTGTGACAAGATGACAAAGAGCTGGTGCTTTGGTAATCATGGCCACGATGCAGCTCCATGTAGCAGAGGCCAGTTTGCGTAGGGTGTAGCATTTGTATGTCTGAATTCTGTTCTTCTTTCTTTTGGTCTTGTTTGGTCCTGTTAGATGGTATACATCCTGAATCTTTTCCACAATCTTTGAAATTCAACAGTGGACAGGTGTCTCTCTCATGCAGAGCTGTGATGGCGTTCTGTCTACCCAGGCTTCTTCGTCTGTTGAGGGGTGCTTTAGAAACAGGACTATGGTGAGGTGCAGCTGAAGCCCCAGAGTACAGCTCACTTATTTCACTGAGCACAGCATCAACACAACAAGATACTTCATCCACTGAGCCTCGTACAGATGTTAGATACTGCCTCAAGTCAGAAATTTCCTCCTGAATTTTGTTGATGCCTTTCAGTTCTTTCAGGATATGTTCCACAATTTTACTGGAGTCTTGTTCTGATTCTTCATGCCCCATCTTCTCTTCTTCATTTTTGGTACTTTCAATCAGCCTGGGTATAGTATCCTCCAGAATCCTAGTGGCACTCCAGCAGTCAGAACTACTGTTTTCCCCAGACAGGGTAAGATCAACTTTGCTGCTAGTAGCATCCACTGGCGACAGGTCATGAATGGAGTTATCTTCTTGACCCTGTAGGCATTTCTGCAGAGTTCTGCACAAGGTCTGCCCCACTTTGGGGCTCTGTGATCTCTTCTTCTGCAGGTCTCGCCTCTTGGGTGAGAGTGCAAGTAACTCTGAATTGTAGGGTTCATCCTGACCACTGAGGTGTCCTCTGGGGAACATCCCTGAGAGGTGTAACTCTTGATCAGCTGTTCCCACTCATGGACACACCACGGCCTTAGTAGCTCCTCCTTTGGGCGATGTAAGTATATGCCAGCACCCCGAACTTCAAATGACTGAGTGCCTGCACCATGACTGGCAAAAGAAAACTATTTTTTTTCTGTCAACAAAGCAGTAAAAATGTCATGTATTCATTTGTATAAATGAACTATAGAATCTCATTTGTAGCCAATGTGGATTGTAGTTCTGTTACACCTTCATGTTGCCATGTTGATTGCAAAATTTCAACCAAACAGTCATTAAGAAATGTCATCTACAGATGGCTTTGTTCGCTTATCCTATTTCTCACTGCAATCAAACTCATGGAGATTGAATAGACGCTCCAAAAATAAAAGAAATATTTTGAGTAATTAATGTTATTAAATGTGAATTTATTCAAATTAATTTTCATGGCCAACAGACAAGACAGTATAGAGAGAAAAGGAAAAAGGATTGCTAATTTTTCAATGTTCTACATGTTTTTGCTTTAAAAATGAGGCAGAATGCTTCTTTACTTGTATTATGTTACTAGATTATTATTCTGCAAATACAAGATTAAGTTTAATATATTTTAGCACACACAAAATCCCACATTACATTTGGGGCCACCATGAGAGACTATACTTCTCTGTAGATAGCCGAAGTGTGATAGACAATGTTGCTTTAACTGAGCTCCTCGCAGTCACAGTGGCAACTTGCAGAATTAGCACCATGCAGCTGCTTAGATCCCTAATTAGGATGCTTTGGAAAAACAGCACGGTAATTAGATGACAGGTCAATTCTGTCCTCTAAGGCCATGTCATTCTATCACACCCATACCAGCTGCAAGGCTTGATGACCCTTTGCCCTCAGTGTACACGTTATTAAACAACCCCAAAATACAACATAAATCTACTGATGTCATTACTAAATCCAGGAAAGTAGAGTATGCAGTCTGAATATGTGTAAAAATTCATTACTGCATGTAAACTACTTGCAATGAATGCTAAACATTGTCTCGTTTACAGCACAGGGAGGAAGCAAGTTGAGCAATTATATTGGTATTTCTCTTATACACCCTCTATTTAGCCTAGTTACAGGCACAGCTCAGTGATACCATCTGTGGTCGCTGGAGATCACAATTTGGATAATCACATTAGGAATTTGGAAATTTCTATAATTATAAATGGTAACAACAATTTCTGATGCCCCTCCAAAGCTCAGACCAGACGAGAAAAATAATGCTATTTGAAAATCAACCTTCATAAAGACCTTAAAATGGACACAGTAAGATTTGTTAGTACTAGACAATATAAAGCTCTTTAAAGTTCTGGAATTTCTTCGCACTTGACCTGAGTTGACTGTTGAATGCTAATTTTAAAGACATTATCATGTATTTTGTCTGGCCTAAGAGGGATACATGCTGACTTCTGGTCATTTTTCTATATTGCCTGAATTAATAATTATGTTGTTAATTTATTTAACATGTTAATCTAACATTAAAGAACTGCAATGTGCATTGGTTTTTGCTTTGTAAAGCCTATTCCCTATTTCATTAAGAGAAACTGACTCCAGAGATGGATAACTATATTAACCCAACCCTGTATTGGTGGGCTCTAATAAGCACTTGAGCACTGAAGATGTCCGTTAGCCTGATAAGGGTTTGGCTATATGAACAGAAGTTTCCTATCACTATTCAATTTGAAATTAAGCTGACAAGCACATCAGCTGAACAAAATCAGCCCATGTGAAATTAACTTGAAGCAGTATTAGCATTAAATGTTTTTAATACTTTAAAAATAAATATGAACAGTAATATCTGGTTTAAACACATTGTTGTATAACAAATTACATGCCAAATAATATTAAAAATATTGTTAAACCGCCATGATCCACTGTATGTGCAGTCTTCTAATCAGTTATTTATTAGTGGACTGTCCAGGATAAAGAAAGGGTGAAGGGCTGGTTTGGGTGAGGCCCATTTTACTGGCCAGTCATAGTAATAGTCTGTAGTAATCTCTTTTCTCTCCTTATTAAATTGTCTGCGGCCTGGATAAAAAAAAGACATCTTGCTTTTCAAGTTTTTAAAATCGACTTCCCATCAAAGAACAACATTTGCTATTAAAATGTAGATCAATCGAGTACTGAAATAAGAGGAAGTCAGGTAATTTACAATGGAAGTACTACAATCTGTTCTATGAATATAGGCTAAACATAAGTTTTATGTATGTAGTACCATTTAACATGTATTACTTAATCAAAATCTACACAAACCTAAGACTAAGTGCACAGAATGACAAATATATATTAAAACATATGCCTTACCTTTTAGGAAAACAATAATGTAGATACTATCTTTCAAGATCACTTAAATCCACATGTACAATTAGTAATCGTAACCCCCCTATCCTTTTTCAAAATGTACATCCTGGTGTATTATTCAATGTCTTGCTCTCCCTCAATCAAACTAGCAGATTCTTCTTCTTCTTTGACTAAGTGCTGAATCCCTTATTTCTACCGCTGGAATAGCAAGCGCGACAGTGGTAGACCACGATCGCAGAGCAATTCACCCTCAGTTAAGTAGCCAACACTACTTCCCTCCCACCCTCGTGTATGCTTTCTCTTCTCTCTCACTTTCTGTCCTCTGGCAATGTATTCCAGCACAAGGCTGATCTAAAGCTGTACAACTGCCAGCTCAGCTCACTCTTTTTTTTCTCTTTCTACATCTGCCTGCTACTGACACTCAATTCTGAACTTCATCTGTGAAAGCAAAACCACACCTGATAAACAAATTAACATGCTGAACTCACTGATTTTAGATCTGTGCTAATGTAGGTCTAGCATTCTTGTTATGCTGGTCAGTGTGACACTCCATGACAGATCAACTAATTCTAACTCATTAGTGTTTTCAGCATTTTGCCTTGCGTTCTGGGTGTTCCTCTATGTCCTGTAATGAACTGCACTTAGACAACTTTCATCTTGCTTTCCATTTATACTCAAGTTTTCAGCCAGCCATCATGTACAGTACTCACTAAATTGTACATGCTTTGGCACAAGTCACCTGCCAATTATTTAGTTATGGAAGATCATAGTTTTATCATTATTTTCCTTAAATGTAATCATTATCATTGTCCAGATACTGATGAAATACAATAATGACCTTCAAGTAAGTATGACAAAGTGACAAATTAGCCATACAGTATAGACATAATTCATCAGAGAATGTGAGTGGGACTCCCATTAATGAACCACATATTAATGCAATTTAAAGGTTCCTGGAGCAGTGACTGATGGACCTAAGGTAACATGGAAAAGATTAACCAGTTAAGAAGATCATACGAGACAGAGATGACAAGAAACAAAAAATCTAAAGTGAAATATAAATATTACTTAAAAACTGGCCAGTATCAGCTCACCTCTCCATTTAAGCCACATATGTTTACTGGACAGCTGTAGCACAGAGAGCCAGGCTAAATCAAATACACTCATTCATGACCTGGTAATGATTTGTGGTATGTTTTTGAATCCAAATAAGTCCACTGCTGTTGCTCAGAGGCAATCAGAGGAAGTTTGTATAATTCACCGTTCACACCAAATAATGTGTAACCACAAGGGTCCAGAGGAGCACAGGTTTGGTTTCAAAATTCATAAGACAGAGACTGCAGTTATGACTGTAATGCATTTCATTGCATCTTCTTAACAACCAGAGAGGTTCAACCATGTGAGTAGGTTTAGTCTCAACAATGATAGAGACAAATTATGAGAAAAAAATAAAATAAAAAACAAAACTATTTTCCTAACCAAGGGTTGTAGTATAACCAGCAGATGGCCATTGATGTGTGAAGTAATTTTGGTAACACTACACTGGGTAAGGTTACTGAACATTGTTGTAGAAGGCCCCTCTCTTTTCACTGTTACACTTTGTAGATTGTCCCTGAGGACTGGTCTCACAGCTTGCTGCACACCGAGACTAATGTCATTTGTCTGGAACAGCGAATGGTTCATTTTGATAAAAATCAGTTTGTAGCTTGTCTATATTACTATGAAACAAAAGAGGCGTTGTTTGTGTTTTAGCAACATTTTGCTTATGACTTATTGATCCAGAAACCTCTAAACTGTGAATGTCTTTCCAAATTTATTGAAGTCGGCCACTATAACATAGCGTTGTCAGCATGCTGATCGTCAGCTATCGCTGCCTCCATGTCTGGGAGCAAATATGATATTTGTATGTAATGTGAGGTTTAGATCGCCCCCTCCCTTTCAGTCAGTCAGGCACATCAGAATGAGCTAATACAACTTCAGTGCAAAGATAATGCACATGGGATTGCTCAAATATTGGTAGGGAAATTTGTGTCCTCCTAAAATACTGGTAAGGACATGTCCCTACCATCCATATGCAAAACTACGCACATGGGTTCAACTCAACCCCTTTCAATGAACTGCATGTGGTTGTAAATATATGTGTATGCATGGTTGGATATGGAAGAACAGGGCAAGAAAATCAGACTTAAATGCTGATGATAGATGAGATATTGGTGGAGAAACGCAAGTAAAACACTGCCTACCTCCCGGAGCTGAACCCTGACTTTGTTGATGGCCTTCAACCAACAAACTCTGGCTGGGGAAAAGGGTAGTGGTGGCCCCTCATCATGAAACCTGGATTACATGGATTTAAAAGTAAAGCAACTAAAAAAGATGGACACAATCTCTAATTTCCTATGCATTTCTATCATAGCAAACAGAAAATTGTGGTAAATTCTGAACAAAAACTATACCTTTGGAGTTTAGAGGACTCTTTCTCTGCTGGAGTGTCATTTTTCAGGCTCCCCCCTACTTCAGGGGACAGCCTGTGGATGTCCTGCTCACTGGCCGAAGTCTGCTCATTGGTAGGAAGATGTCTGTTTGGCCGTGGCTTCCCATTATTAGAAACTAGAAAGCCAGTACTGTGGTAGGAGTGGGGGCGGAATGATTCCTCCAGTTCTGACCCTCCAGTGCTCTCCTGGCCAGTCTCACTAAGCTGGGAGCTGGTCTGGCTCAGGTTCCCTGATGACCCAAAGCGACTACTTTCCACTGGACTACAATGGTGAGAGAGGTGTGAGAAAAAAAAAAGTTCAATGTCAGAATACCTTTTTTGGGTTCAAAACTGGATGAAAAACCATTTCTAAACATGGTTTGTATTTTTCTTCTAGCCAAAGATAAAAAAGTGGGGCTTGTTACACAAAACTAATTTTAAACATTGTAACTTTAGAAAATGATTAATGCTTTTCATATTGCTAAAAAGATCAATACATTAGGCTTTTTGGTCTGTAATAAATCCCACCCATCTAGAATCCAGAATTTTTTTTGCAAACACTATGTATGTTCACTATGTGAACTTTAATATCCTCTATAAAAGGGGCATTATAA